AGTAGGAGAAAGTTGTTGGTAGGGTGAATATTTTGAATTTCTAATGGAATTTTAAAGGTATTGGTGATATTTGAATAGCATATGGAATTTAAATGTAAGGAAATAATTTATTTTTGGGAAAATCATTATTTAAATTGACTTTAGAAATTTAGATCACAAAGGAAACTGTTTAATAGGATTTAATATCCTTTTTCTCTTTTCACATATTCTATCAGGTATAAGCCTCCCTCTTTTAAGATGATGCATACCTTAAACTTGTATTTTTTTTTAAAGATTTATTTATTTATACAAGAACTGGGGTACAGGCCAGATGTGCAGGAGGGTGAGAGGATCCACCAGAGACAGAGCGGGGAACAGAACAGGCAGACTGAACTGAAATACACTGCTGAGGGGAGCAGCAGGAGAGACAGGAGAGGTCTGCTGCGCCATGTGGGTTGCTCCGCGGCCAGTGGGGATGGAACTGGCACTGCAGAGGCTGCAGACAGCTTCATAGTGCTGCACTCAACCGCCTGCGCCACTTGGGAGGCCCAATCTTGATTTTCTTTTCACGTTATTTTATTGTTTCTTTTGCTTTTCTTAAAAAAAAAATTAGCATCTCTTCAATGACCCATAGGTGTCATTAGTTACCAAAAACTTGAACTATCCAAGCAAGTTTTCCTTTCACTGTGAATAACAGAAGACATGTGTGGTTTGATTAATTCAAGTAACCCCTCATTCAATTCTGTACTTTTTCAAAATCTGCTTAACTGCTTATTTTCATATAACCTTTTATTTGTCTTTTTTTTTTTAAAGATATATTTATTTATTTATACAAGCACTGAGTACAGTCAGAAGCGCGGGAGGGTGAGAGAATTCACCAGAGCCAGAGCGGGGAACAGAACAGGCAGACTGACGAAATACACTGCTGAGGGGAGCAGCGGGCACAGCAGGAGAGGTCTGTGCGCCATGTGGGACCCTCACCAGTGGCCGGGGATTGAACCGGTGTTGCAGAGGCTGCGTGCAGCTTTGCAGCCCAGCGCTCAACTGCTGCGCCACTGAGAAGGTCCCCTTTTATTTGTCTTAAAGTTAAAATGCTCATGCTTCTTATTAGAAAGTTTGACATTTGCTTTTCAACTAATTTCATAAACATTAATTGATCTACTACTATTATAATATATTGTGCTATATGTTTAATTATTAGGTTGGTTTTGAATTTGTTGTATTATAGGGAGGTCCTGTATTATTATCATTCATTAATACTCCCCTCTAGCATGAGCTCTATTCTATTTTCCAAATCGAGTATTCTTCCCATTATCATTTAGAAATTGGGAAAAAAAATGAAGTATTAAACCTGTCTTGACAAAGCAGTTGTAGGAAGTGATGATTTTCTTTAAACTGGATTCTCGATATTTAAATAAGGTCTAGATATTTCTTCCAAATACAGCATAAACTTCATACAATCATATGTAAGGCCTATGTTAATATTTTAACTTCATTTCTCTAAATTAATTCCTTACTAAATTTTATGTTGGGTGTATCTCAACTAAATTCCCTTTATCTAAATGACAGAAGAAAATGGTCATAACTGTATTTATTGTATGCCTTTTCCATGTCTTAACACCACTTACGTGTCCTATATTTGTTATTATAGCATGTGTCCATTATGTAAATGTTTCAAGAACTTATAAGATCTCAAATTATGGTTTCATGTATGTCTTAAAATCTCTAAGAAAGAAGAAATGAAGTCAGGGTTCTCACAAAACTGATACCTTTCATTGCTTTCTGCTTATTTCTGCTACAGATGATTCCTTGATAATACTGTCGCCTGGCTAATACTTAGTAATTACGAAGATTTGATTGTAAACCTACAGATAAACAAATAAGACATTACTGTGTAACCAATGGGATTCTTGTGACACTTGTATTTCTGACAAAGCAGTATTTTTCATACCCCCATGGACCTTTCCAGTTCTGGCTCCAGAGTGCATGTCTGCCAGTTATTATCTCAAATGCAGATTTGACTTGAAATCCTACAACCTGATCACATGCCACAGGATGCAGACTCAATCCAATTAATTACGAACTTGCCTGGAGTACACAGGCTGGAAATGTCTGCATGATATTTCATTCAAGTCTGGTTTTGGAGAAGGGACAGCACAGTGGGGTCTGTTTTCATCTCCAGCCAAACATCTGTAACCTCAGAGAAGAGCAAACAGTGTGGTCATAACTGATACGATCTTTTGCTAACCAACAACTAACCCAGAGAGTTGCATAAACAACTTTGTATCATTCTACCTTCATTCCCTGTTAGAGAAATTCAGTGAAATTAGTGTTGGTGGTGTTTGTCAAGCTATTCAGAGTGTTCAGATTATGTGAATAATACAAACAATGCACGGATCTTTCACAGCCAGTTAGAAGCAACAGAAAATAATTATAATTTGGAAGAGTAAGTATTGCTCTACCTGTAGTTTTATCCCAAACAATTCAAAAGATAGGAACTACTTGCATTTTGACTTTCTTAATGTATATATGTTTATGGCAGACTTTTTGCCATGTGGTTTAAAAGTGACATTCAATGCAAATTATTTCATTTGAATGTTTTTTTTTTATTGAAGTAACTTTGATTTATAAAGTGAAGGAGCCTCCCTTAGGACCCTCCCTCTTTTTATTTGGTAGCTTCCATCTACTAAAATACGGTTGATCTCTTCACCTATTTCACCCACCCCCCAACTTCCTTCCCGTCTGGTAACTACCAAACTGATTTCTGTATCTAGAGTATGCTTTTGTTTCATTTTGCTTGTTAATTTGCTTTATTTCTTTATCTTCACATAAGAGTGATATCATATGGTAAAGACTAATACATTTTATTTATTTATTTTTTAAAGATTTTATTTATTATGCTCACAAGAGCTGGGTTGTAGGCCAGAGGCATGTGTGTGTGGGGGGAGGGGTGAGAGGATTCATCAGAGACTGGGTGGGAAACAGAACAAGCAGACTGACTGAAATGCACTGCTGAAGGGAGCAGCAGGGAGACAGGAGAGGTCTGCTGTGCCATGTGTCAGTTCCCTGGCCCAGATGGACTCATGCTGCAGTGGCTGAGGATAGCTTCATAATGCTGACACTTAATCCTTTGCACCACCAGGGAGGCCCAACAAATAACATTTTAAATAGAACAGAGTTTCCATAATAGGAAAAGACAGTGAGTGTTATTATAGAAAGTAAATACATAAAACCATCTTTAGACATTTGATTCACTTTGAGACAACAAGGAATTATAAAGATGGTTTCTATTTCAGATAGATTCAGTTTTTATACTCTTTCATGATTTTCCTTGATGCCTGAAATATTTTTAAGTAGTGCCAATAGAAATGAAGCTCAGAACAACTAATAAGTAGACTGTAAATGTAAAGATATAGTCAGTCTTTTTGCTAGGCTCTGTTTTAAAATAAATTCTTTCAGAAGTGCTGGCAGACAACATAAATTTAGGGGCTTTGTGTCTTTCTTGGCCTGTTCTCATGGCTCACTGTACTCACTTTTATCTTAGTTCACCTAAGCTAAAGCTATAACGACCCATTTTTGTTAGTTGAAATATTTGGCTCCCTGTTCCTTTGGCAAAACTTCTGTTTTTCCTTTCAGACTCTTATTATTTGAATTATGTCAACATATTTAAAGATGTTAGTGACTTAAGGCACTGTGCCTCCAAGAGGTCACATTGACCTTTGGCAATGGACCTCAGTTCTTAACTGAACTGTGATACTCAGTTCAGTGAGGAGGGAGTGTTGATTATACAAAACAAAATAGCAGGCAAAGGGGAAGTGTTTGGGAACTGGATAGTTTTTGGGTGCGTGTGGAATCTTTTTGGTTATTTCTGAATTTAAATAGACTTCACCTGTATCTCTCAGATAAGAAATCTTATTAGCTTTGTTTCCTAGTCACTAAAGCCTAAATCATTACATGAAAAGTGAACTCACTGGAAAATGATTTAAAAAAACTGCTACTGATACCTCCTTACAAAAGTGCATATTCAGCACCAAAAATCCGATGATTTGTCACAGTGGATGATAGGGTCTGAGAATTTTTATTTTCAGTAATATTCATGAAAGCACAGAAAGCTTTACCATTTCTTGCTGTTGTCCCCTTTCTTCCTGTTCTAGTGATGAGCAGGAGATACTAGAAACCACTGTACATCATCTGTCTTCAACTTCCGTCAAGAAAGGAATGTCTTTCAAAGATCATCTGGAATTTGTCTAACTTTGATTATGTAGTGCAGAGTAGTTCTGAAAATAAAGATGGAATTGTTGTGTCCATTAGGAGCAGCTTATTTCGTCATTGTTGTTTTTCACTTGTAGCCTTGTGCCTTGTATGATGTTTTCTATTTCTCAGAACAAGCTAAAAAGAACTGTTCTGTTCCTGGGCTTTGGGAATGCTGGAACACAGAGACTGCGTTTATAGAATAATATTAGACTCTTACAAGGGGCCTGTGTTCTGCAAGTGTAATTTTTGATGCATGCAAGGAGTTTTAGCATCCACGAGAATTGAGGCTGAGAAATGCAATAGAAATGCCACAGTCAAATAAAGAAGTGTTTATTCATTGATATATTGAGCCTCTTAGTAAAAAACCTTAAATTAGCATAATTAAACAAGAGGTCTGATTTGCTATCTTGTTTTTGCCTAATAGAGAAAGTCAACATTGATTTTATGGCTATCAGGACCTTTCAGTTATCTTTTCATATCTTAGATTACCAGACTTTGAGGATTATACCCACTTTATGTGTTGTCATCTGCATTAATTCTAATCAAATAAATGTTCCTAGAGAATACAATCTTAGAATATTTATTGAAAGATAACAGAGAAATTTCCTTGGACCATAATAGCTGTATATGTTATAGTTAGCAGATTTTCTCTGCCGTCCCCCTACTGAAGTTAAAGGGAGGATATCAAGATTTTTAATAATGCTGTAATTCAATTTACATGTTAAAAATTTTAGTTCTTTATCTTGCTCTTCTTTTTTCCTTTTTAGATACTAGCTCAGTCATGCACTGAAATCCTGGAATTGCGGCCCTCAAGTGTCTGTGTAGGGGGTAAGTGGTTAGAATTTAAAAATACCATGTAAGAAATTGCAGGTTTTTTCCTGGTTAAAATATATGATTTGAAGATTTGAAGAACTCATGTTGGAAAGAGAATAGCAAAATTAACTTTTTTGGCATCATTTTCTGTAAGAATTTTTAAATAATTCCTTGAAATATTTCTATTTTAAATTCAAATTTTTAAGATTGGAGTGTTATTTTAAATAATGAACATATTGTGTGACAGGCTTTTAGAATCGTCTGTATATTTAGTTCATGTTTGAAATCTCTCCTATAACAAGTAAAATAAAATATGAAAATTTTTTTCATCTTATTATATTCACCGTCATGTGTCTGTGGACACTGAACTCTGTGCTTTGATGACCTGGCTAAAATCCACTATCTGCTAGCTCAGTGCTCATAAGGAAATCACTTAAGAGTGAATGACAGGAAGGAAGCAGGTGGCTTCCTCAGCTGGGCTAAGAACATTTCAGGTTTTACCAGTTGCCAGATATCCTTACCCAATGAGAGTGTGATTCTCTTTGATATATTTTATTCCTTTTTTAATTAATATTTTATTTTATATATTTCTTACATCATTTTTCATTTTTTCACAATATGCGTTTTCATTTTGGCTATATTCCCATACAATTGCACCCCCACCTTATTTTGACCCTAGTCCTTCCAATATATTTTATTTCTTCTTCAAGTTTGATCTGGAGTTCATTTTAACCTGAATTTACTTAGAAAAGGAAAAACATTGAATCTGGTGGGGAAGGAAATTGCTGTGTAATTTACCACAGAGCCTTCCAATTGCTGAATTAAACTCTGCATCTTTTAGATTCTCTAATGTTTATTGAGATGTTTAAGAGGAATATCCTGGAGGATTATCTTTTCTAAAATTAGATTAATAACTATCTAAGCATATCAAGAAAAATAAAAGAATATTAAAATGGTAACTATTATTTATTAAAATCCTTTTATGTGCTGGGTACATGCATTTATAATTTAACTGTTTCTTATAACTACAGTGGTCGACACTTTTATAATCCCTATCTTGCAGGCTGGGAAATTGAGGCAAAGAAATGTTTGGGACTTGCTATTAACAATTCTTCTTTTTAGAACATTTTCTGTTTAACTCTAAAGCCCATGCTTGTTTTTTTCCCTGAGTTACACTTTAAATTTTACCAGGACTTTATTTTTACTGTAAGTAAAATTCCTTTCATAACACTTTTAATTGCAATCACATAACAGTAGTTTGTTCCATAGTTGATGACTACTGTGTGTTGGATTGTGTTAGAGAGGGGATGTTTGAGAGTATTAGGAATTAATCACTGTTAGTTAATATACCATCTTGCAGCTTAGCAACAAACATTTAGTTGTCAATCAAGATATTTGCTATGCTAACATTTTTTCTATTATATCATTGGTGACTGATCCTACTATACGGATAGAATACAGGGAGTTTAATCAACTTCTTTTAGTGACTGACTATAGATTATTAGTGGTCACAATAATTGAGACTTGTGATAGGTAATAAGATTGTCTGCAACAGAGAATGAAACTAGGATTTATGATTTGAAGAGCTGTTAAAGAAGAACACTGAATGGAATGGCATAGATTAAAGAAAATATAACACATGACTGTACTAGAACAAAAGACCATGAAAAATTAATTCTCTTAACATTTCTATATCTCAATTCCTATAAGTAGAGAAACACAAAGAGGTTTCTTTCCTGCCCATATTTTTCTGAGACTAAAATTTGGGAAAGTTTTTATGATATTTCTCTGGGAATGACTTATGTTTCAACTCTAATATCTTGGCCACTATTAGAAAAAAGATTACCCCAAATTCTGAGTTTAGGATTGAGGCTATCAGAGGGGAGGGGGAAAGGTGAAGATTGGGGTGAGGAGGTGGCCCAATAGACTAGGAGGACTGTGGGTACTTGGCGGTGGGTGTGGTGTGCTAACATATACCTGAACAGCTGTGATCCTATGCTGCTGAATCATACACAATTTTATAACCAAAGCTACCTCAATAAATATAAATAAATAGAAAAAGAAAATAATAATCCCTATGTGATTTTGATTGATAGTTTCATTGGGTTTCTTAGTGGGCTAAGAGAGCAAGTAGAGTTGAAAATGGTGCTTTGTCTTTATTATTAGTTGGCTTAATAGTATGAAAATAATTAATTCTGTGTACCTTGTTACTTTTAAGTTATGTCTTAATTTGTTTTTTTCTGTAAATCTGTGATTAAAATTTTTAATGTTTATTTTTCCTTTTGCTTCCAGAGGAATTTCAAATTGTTTTAAATGGAAGAGGCTTTGTCTTGGGGAGTCGGAGTGGCAGCGTCCTCTGTACTTACACTGTTAATGAAACATACACAAAGAGTAAGTCACCCCCAGTCTCGATATTGCTTTATATCTGCATCACATATCAGCATCAAATGCTATCCCAAAGGTAACCAACTCTGCTATATATTTTTTATACAAAATGATTTTTATTTTTTGCCCTTGTGATGGATTCCTTCTAATTATTTCTAAATTTTGTTTATTACAAATTTTAATCTTATTAAAGCTTTATTTTTAATTTATAAGTTTTAGCTTAAAATTGAATCATACCTTAAGGTTGTGATCCTATACCTCTAAATCACACACAATGATGTAAACCAATGCTCTTTCTCTATATATGTATATATATAAAATTTATCCTTAAAAATCTAAATGTTTGCACAATTAAAGGGAAAATAATTTTACAAGTATCTACAAAAGTTATGTCAACTTAGTGTATGTCAAAAGAATCATAAATTAAAGGATGGTATAGACAATGATATTTATAGTCTCTACTTCTATTCATATAGTAAAAATACATTTCTATTTTCTATTCCTTCTTTCTTCAGAGGAATATCTTTTTGGTTTTTAATGCTAATATATGTAATGTTCCAAACTTCAACTCTGTCATATCCTTTCATTATATAAATGAAATTGTGTGAGTTATATAAAATCCTTTATTAACTCAATGGTATTTTACTTTCTAGGTGTACAGCCAGTCAGTGTGGAGCTTAATTCTATGCTTTGTCCGGCACCTGCCCTTAATAAAGCAGGAGAGTAAGTACTTCATTAAAAATATTTCTCAAACATTTTAGCTACAAATTAAAATGGTAGCAGATACACAGTAGTTGTTTTATTGTACTTTTTCTTGATCAGTAGATTGAACATGAACATGAACATAGTAAGTCCTATGTTAATCACTCTGGTTCATACTTTATGCTCTTAGTAAGTTGAAAATATTGAAGTCTGTTTTATTTAATTTTTTAAATATTGATTAAAAAACTATATTTATCTGGATGGCTTTGAGGTACATTGCTAGAAACTTTAATCAGAGCCAAAGTCACTGTTTTGACTCTACAGTATAGATTTAGTGCAGAGACACACACACATGCGTGCACACGTGCCTTCCAAAGTGAGATTTAGACTGAGTAATTACTATAGAATTTACATATTAAAATTAAAGAACAAAAGGAACGTGGTTCACTAATGAACACCTTAGAAATTCTTTTTGGTAAGATTTATTTATTTATTTATACAAGAACCAGGGTACAGGCCAGATGGGCAGGAGGGTGAGAAGATTCACCAGAGATAGAGCAGGGAGCAGAACAGGCAGATTGACGAAATACACTGCTGAGGGGAGAGCGGGCAAGTCAGGAGAGGTCTGGCGTGCCATGTGGGACCCTTGCCATCCGGCCAGGATCCAACTGGCGCTGTAGAGGCTGCGGACAGCTTCACAGTGTGGCGCTCAACCACCTGTGCCACTAGGGGAGGCCCTAATGAACATCTTAGACTTGGAAATATTTGTGCTTTAATTTGTCTTCTTACTTCTTAAGGCCAGTATTCTTATTTTGATGTGGCAGTAAACCATTTCAATAGCTGGTTAAAAGGAGGGATATTTAATTTAGAAGAGCTTTTATTTGAATTGTCTATACACAAATAATTTCAATACTCACTTATTATTTTCATTTGTGATTTCTTCAATACTCTCTATTATGAAGGAAATGATTGCTAACAGCTCAAATGTTCCCTTGCTCAACAGTGGTGGATGTAATATATTTAATATAATAAATAGGATATGGTTTTCTAAGCCCACTTTATACTGACCTTGCACTCAGAACATTGAAAAACAAAATATACAAGGTTCCAGTCCAAAACTGGATTAGTGTTCAGAGAGCGGAGATTTTATTTTTCTCCAGGAAGCCCAAGGGAATCATTTTAATAGTTTGAAGTTGAGGTGAGCAGTTTAACTTTTGTGCATGATTAAATATTCAGGATACCTATGGGACATCACTTGTAGTCATCAAAGTAAATTGGAGGGGTATCAGCTTTCAATTTCAAATTGCTTGAAAGGAGCTGCATAATGAACCTTGCTTATAAAAGCAAGACTCTCAGAATCTTTTCTTTTTACAGTATTCATTCTGTGTGTCATGTAATAAGCTAGTGTTATTGGCAACATGCTTGTGGCTAAGACCGATCTTGGAATTTGAGACAGGTCTATTTTGCATGGAGCCATTTTAACCCAGTGTACAGTGTGACTCAATAGCTTTCTGAATAATCATATCTTATATTAGCCCTGAGAAGTCTGTTAACTAAAAGTTTCATCCTGTTTTTCAAATCTCTAACTCCATACTGATTTTCTTATTGTGCTCCCCAGTACGATCCCTGAGCTGGTTTCTCTGGGCAGTCATTGGCAGCAACATTTTTTTTTGTTTTCTAGGTAAATAGCCTTTTTGAGGCATTGATTTGTCTTTCATACAGTCCACCAACAAATCTTCTCAACTTTAATTTCAAAACATATTCAGAATCCAGTGTGTCTTCTACCATCCCAACGATGCCTACCATACTAGACCAAGTTACTTTCATCTCTTGCTTGGTTTATTAACCTCTCAGCTAGTCTGTCTGTTCCTGTCCTCAGCAGAAATGATCATGATAAATCAGACTGGTTTATGTCAGCCCTCCACTTAAAATCCTTTATGACGAGGTCCCCATTCTACCTCAGTAAATGTCTTATCATTGCTTTGTTCTGGTAGGTTTTACAGAATTTAGATCCTCACTGTGTCTCAGATTTCATCTTATTTTTGCCCCTTATGTTATGGTCACACCACCCTTTTTGCTTTTCCTAAACCACAGCAACTTACTCCCATGTAAACACTTTTATATTTGCTGTTCCTTCTGCTTGAAATGCTCGTCCCTTCATGGCTCATTGTCTCACCATTAAGTCTCGTTCAAGTGACACCTTCTTGGTAAGTCTCTTCTGGGCACCCTGTTTACTCATGCAGTCTTTCTCCTTCCTTGAGTTTTGTACTCTCTATTTCCTTTTCATGTGTTTTTCCCCCCAAAGCATTTATTGCTTGTCATTTTGTCTCTTTCTCTTACATGGAATTTCTTTTGTCTTCTTTCTTGCTATAGCTCTCAAACCTGACACAATGTCTGGCATATAGTAGGTACACTAAATGTTAATGAAAGAATGAATACGTTTTTATAGTATATAGTATCAAAAGTGATTTTTGATTTCTGGGGTGTAGGTAGGAGACAAATGATCAGAATCCTATTATGGGGTACTTGTCAATTAAGAGAGCTGACAACTGCCTTCCTTTTTTTCCTTTTGTAAAGATAGCTGTTTACTGAGGTAATGGTGATTTATATTACATTATATTTAGGGGTGTAGGTTTATATCTAGTGAATAGTTATGTCATTTCACTACTCTCCATACCAAAGCCCCAGTGTCCTCCTTTGGACTTTTAGTGACCAGTTAAGGAACACAGCTTACTTTCCATTTCAAAGAAGTTATAAAGTGCATTATGCCTTTTCTACCCCAGACACTGAATTTGTTTTCTTTGGATTTTGCTTTTGGGCATAGTCTCATTTTGAAGAGACTACCGCAGAGATTGCAGATATCTTTAAATTATTTATAGATGTGCTAAATGCTTGAGAGATGTGATTTTAAAAAATCATATAGAGCATAATAATTATGAGAGATAAGTAGTCATCATTTGTTTGGTTTTTGATGTTAACATTTCACCTATAATGACAAATTTCTGAGGAATTGTGACCTCCATGCCTTTGAAACACATAGTATTGTAAATCAATGTTAACTAAATAAAAATTAAATTAAAAATTCATCTATAAGCAAACTGGGGATGTTTGGGAAACTATCTGTCTAAAATAATTACTTTTGCCTTCCTTTATATTTTGTATCGAGTACATGAACCACTGAGGCAAAACTTGTGAAGATTTTATTGGCTAATGTATTGGGTATTTGGGGGCATCATTATTTGTTCTCCTATGTATGCTGCAAGTAATTTGGAGCTTTCCTTTGCTCTGAATTTTCTTCAGATACTTTTGTAGGTGATGAGTTCTCTTATGAGACTAGATTAAAATCAACACAACTGAAACAGTTTAGCCTTGTAAGGTGACTGATGCTTAATATGTTTGCCTAATTAGCTTTTGGCTAAAGATTGAAACCCATTAAGTAGCTAGTTAGTCTATGTTTCAAATAAACACATCTGGCCAACAATGAAGGAAGATTTTATTCCTGCGTGAGGGTGACAGATGTGATAGTTCCCCCGTTCTCTCACTTAAATAATTAACAACACACTGGTGAAGTAACCCTAGACAGACAGCTTCAAAGCCAGATGCGTAGTCTCAGAGCTGGAGCGGTGGACATGTGCCTCAACTCATTAGCCTGCTCCATCGGTTCCTTTCTCATCTTTGTATTATTTCCAGAATTATGTTTTGTTTGAGGATTATTTTCTAAAATACTTAAGACTTATGAAGAAGGTTAAAATGAAATTGTTTATTTCTAGATAGAGATTAAAAATGTTGCGGGGTAGCTGGGACAGAGATTTGCATTCAGAAATGGATGTCATGATATAAAAGAAGTTAAAGCTACCTGAGCAAATCATACCCAGGGATACAATTGTTTAGCATTGTTGAAATGGGTTTTTGAAGTACTCTCTTTGACAGAGATATCTGTTTATTAAATTTCCCTATGTGATATGGAATTTTAGACTAAGATAAACAAATTCCTAATATTGAAAGAGAAAGAACAAAAAGGTGTGGTAATGAGCTTGTTTTCTATTGCTTTTATTGGACACAATTTAATTTTAAAATGCCATGTGATTCAACCAAATGTCTTACCAAGAAAAAAAAATCTGTAGATTGTTTGGGAGTTTATTTCTGCCGGTGGTTCCTTTGTAGCAAAATGTCTTCTTTAAGCTTTCATAGGACGAACTCTAAAGTTCTTTGAATCCTTCATGTTTTGGGGCTATCACCTGGTGTTCAATGTGCAAGTGTCACAGTGCTTGCAGTGTGGGCTTATTCTCTGACCCTTGTTTAGTGAGACAGCAACAATAGCACAGCTGCTCTGCACTAGTTGAGATCTCAAACCTGTAATTTGGCAAGAAGAACAGGACAAATTGGGTAAATATACATAAACACATTGTGAAGAAAGAAAAACAGAACAGAATGAACCAGAGTCTTATCCTACAGCTTGTTTGATAGAGATGATTTAAGGAGGCATATGGTATAGTTAAATGTGCTTTCAAAAACATTGGCCAGAATCTTCTGGCAAATATGAAATAAATATCTAAATCAGATGAAGCTGATAGTATTAGTTCTCTTAAAAGGCAGTGTGGGAACACACTTGACAGAGTGTTTTGAGTAAGAAGTGGTGGGATATCAGTGTATGTGGAAAATCTGAAGCATCTGATACTGAGGGCTTAGCAAGATAAGTGGTGTGACCGACTTGAAGTGAGAGCCTTACTTGAAAATAGAATATTTTTATTTTCCTTGATGTTATTTTTTTTTAATATCACCAATTTTGCCTGAATAAAACTGATTATTTTCTCTTTCTGGGTTGGGCAAATTCTGCCTTTAATATGACTTCTCAAATAAATACTTCCTTTCAAAAATATGCCTGTGTATGTATGTGTGTGAGCATCTGCACACACCTAATTCCAGTAAAACAACCAAAACTTCATTCTTTCTTCTGTTTCTTGTAATTTCTTGTCAGAAATGAAACAACTTATTTTTTATTTAACATGTATGCTAGGACA